TCAATTATGTAAAAAGTTTTCATTAAGTCTAATAAAGATAAGAGCATGGTCTCACCTTTAACATTAAAAAAAAAAAATTGATACTTTTAAAGATAATATTTGTAAAGATGATAATTATAAAGATAATACTTATGAAAATAATACTATTGATAAATCTAATATCTCTCAAAATATAGAAATTGATGCTATTGCTAAATCTCAAGATATAAAAATTGATTTTAAGAATATAAATATATTGAAGATATAGATGATCAACCAAGTTCTAAAAAAAAAAAAACTACTTCCAACTGTTTATAAATACTATAGATATAATAAAAAAACAAAACAATTTAAATGCAATCTTTGTTTATAAGTTTTATATTACAATATATATTTAAATTTAAATTATTTTTATAACTAAAATTTAAAAATATATTTTTTTTAAATTTAAAAAAAAATATAAAAAACTAACTGATTATTCAATTGGTACTTTAAGAAAATATATTAGAAATATTCATCAAATTGATCTTACAAGATTAGAAGTTAAAAAATATCAAAATGTAAAATTTTAAATATTTAATATTAAATTATTATATTTTATATAATAATTTGATTTAATTATTAATTTTTTTTTTATAGAATTATAATCAAGAAGAATTTACTAATAAAATAGTTAGGTGGATTATTATGAATAATCATCCTTTTACAATTGTTAAAGATTATAAATTTAAAAATATAGTAGATTATCTTAATAATAAAGTAAAAGTGTTTTTAGCTAATATTATTAAAAATAGAATTATGTCAAAATTTGAGACTTAACAAGAAGAAATCAAAAATAAATTACAAGTATATTTTAATTTTTTAATTTTAATTTATTTTATTATTAAATAACTAATTTAATTAAATTTTTTAGAATTTATTTTATAAAATTTTTTTAACTTTTAATATATAAACTTCTCTAATTCAAGATTTATTTTTGGGAGTTATTGCTTATTAGTCAGACAAAAATTGAAAAATGAATCAAATTACAATTGAATTTGTTAAATTAAAAAGCATATATTTGGGTAAAAATATAGCTAATATTTTATTTAAAATATTAGTAAATTATAAAATTTTAAATAAGATTATTTTATTTTTAATAAATATTTTAATTTTTTTAATTTATATAGATTTTAGCAATTACAACTGACAATGCTTCTAATAATAACAAAATATTTGAACATTTTACTAAATTATGTTTAGAAAAACAAATAATATTTGATAAAGAAAATTATATAGTTAAATATCTTGGGCATATTATTAATTTTGCTGCTAAGGATATTTTAAAAAAACTTAAAGCTAAAGGTTCAAATCAAGATGAAGATATATTAGAGAAAAAAAATAATATTAATTCAATGACTGCAATTGAAAGAGTAATTAAATTACTATTAATTTTTTTTTTTTTTTTTTTTTTTAAAGTGAGGCCTTGCTCATATCTTTATTAAGTAATTTATACAAGTAGTTACATAGAGGCTATATAAAAACTTATTTCGTA